ACATCTATTCTTTGCTCTCTCCATGAATTTAAATAGTCCCTTTTTGAACCTAGCCATACTACCTGCTTCTACAGCCTCCTGTGGTAATAAATTCCACAAGTTAACTATGCACTGCATAAAAAGTACTTTTTTCTTGTATTTTTAACCTGCTTCTGCTAATTTCACTGGGTGCCCTTTACTGTAGCTCGAGTATTCTGGAACTTGGTGAATAACAGCTCCCTATTAATTGCCCACACCCTTTGTGATTTTATAGACCTCTATCATATCCCTCTCACCCTCAGCCTTCTCCTTTGCAAATGGAAGAGTCCTACCCTCTTTAGCCTCTTCTAGTATGGCAGCTGCTCCTGATCATCTTGGTTACCTTCCTCTGTACTTCTTCTAGTTCTACTACATCCTTTCTGAAATGTGGAGACCAGAACTGCACAGTTGGAAGTACTCTTTTTTTCCAAAGAAGAGACCGTTCTCTTCTGCAAAAAAAAACTTGGGATGCCTTTACATTCTTTTTTCGGGTGGAGAGAAACATGTGTCTACAGTCTTGGTCACAACAATGTGCTATATAAACAAATACTGACTAATGCTGATTTGTTCTAAGAGACTACTGTGCAACCCACTACCATAAGGAAGTGATGTGTGGCATAAAGTCTGAGTGACAGAAAGGGGAAGGGGGAAGCTATCCCTAAGGATTTTAGCAGGCATAGAGATGGATCCTTTGTCACTATGAATTTAGGAACAAGGACTTTGGAGAACATCCAATGTTCACTTATCATAACACCAGTGTTAATGAAACTTCTCTCAATCACTCCAGAGTTATTTTCATCCAAGAATTCATTTCCACAATAAAGTTCTCCCAGGAAAATTGTTTTCTGCTACAAATAACTAAATGTTAGCCTGCCAAATGCCAAACAACTGGATGTGTAACTCCAAGCAAGCTATGTATTATACAGTAAATAAAAAATTCAGAGGTAATTCAGAAGCAGCAACTGACCTTTTCTAGAGGCTTGCCTGAAAAGGTTCCAATAAGTTTCCAGTCATTCAAAACTTCTTCAATTTTTGAAATAAATCTAGTAGGAAAGAAAGAGTGTTAATATTTCCTAAACACTGTGTGTATGTTAGAGCTCAGGTTCTTAAAAATGAGGAAAATATGTAATATAATTGTTCACTTTTCAGGGATTCCCTTTCCTAATATTTCAGAAGTTTTGTGCGTTTTGTTTTTGGTTTTTGTTTGTTTTTACACACAGCTGTCTTTTTCCTTCTTTCCTATTCATTTATACCACCTTACTCTCATTGTACCAGACTGTGGGACCCTTATTCACAGTAGTGAGCACCCAAGTTGTTACTCATCGGACTAGTTTCACTTAACAAGAGTGAATAAAGTGAAACCTGGATCCATAGGCTGCAAAACCTATATTCTAACCAGCAGAGAGCAGCATCTGAAAGGGTGGATCCTCAAATATTATTTATTCAATATCTCACTTTGTACACATCTATGATTCTGTCCATTTCAACGAACAGCAAAGAAATTATACACTTTGAAAGTTCATTTTAAAAATAAGCTAATCTGTTGTTCATTTCAAGCTGGGAAAATAGAACGCAACATAGAACAAGCAGGCAGACCTGTCCATATCTCCCAGCTTCCCTTCTCTTCCCTCCTCCCTGCCAACACCTTGCTCAAAATTGCAATCAAAAAAGAAACAGAATGAGATTTCTGCAGGGTTCTGGTGGCAGCTGTAAGTCTCTGGAAACTTGTTCTTAGTTTACAATGATTCTGGAGCTTTTCCGTTTTCCAGCATACATAACCACTATAACAGTCACATTGGTAGGTCAGGGTTAGCTTAAACATTTTATTATACACAGTTCTGAACACTTCCCTGAAGTAGATATCAAATGACTAGAAATCAAAATAATCAAACCATCAAATGTAAATAATGCCATATTAGCAGCAGCAAGAACAGTATTCTGCCTTTCTCTAAAGACGTAGAGGGGAGCCTGGAGGGAGGGCAAACATACCAACTCATGCGACCCATTTGAAACTACCACTTCTTGGAAATATGAAAACATCAGAAAAATACATACCAGGATCTGAGCCGTCTGACTTTTCACTTGACTGTACTAGCTAGAAGCCCTCAGAAAATATTAAGAATCCATCAGAAATACAGACCTCGTGGAAGCAAAGTTCAGTGCCGCAGGGTTACCCAAATGGCACCAAAACACAGGCTCAGATAAAACTCCAAAAAGGAGGTCTTCTTTCTCGTGTGGAAACTAGCTATAGAAAAAGCCTTTTTTTTTTTAAAAAAAAAACAACACCAAAAAACTGTCATGAAAGACTATTCTTTACAATGCCCAGTGTCTCTAGTGATTACAAAATGAACCCACCAGTAACACAAATCCCCCCCGTACAACTTCCAGGGATGCTTCCTACCCATGGGACCAGTCACAGACTCGTACGAAATGAGGGATGAAGGGAGGCTGCATCTAGTCCGTCCCCCCAGGGGCTACAAGCAGGACCCATCCCCAGCTTCACCATCCCAGCTCAAGCTTTGTCCAGCCGAGTTTTGAAAACCTCCGAGGATGGAGATTGCAGCACCTCCACTCCCCTCCTGAAAAACATTCTCCCTAAATCCCCAAGCAAAACCTCCCTTGATGCCAGCGACACCGCTGCTCCTTGTTCTGTCACCCACCACCACCGACACCCAGGCTGCTGTCAACCCCGCTCTCAAGTCCCCTCTTCTACAGACCCCAGCTCCAACCATCCTCCTCGCCCTGCTCTGGACCCCACATCGCCCCTTCCCAGGCCCAGCCCGCCGCGGGGGGAGAAGGGGCCGGCGGGAACGTACCTCTCCCACTCGGAGGCGGTGGTGAAGTCCGTGATCTCAAACACGTCGGACTCGGGCTGCGGAGAGAGCGCGGGTGAGCGCGGGGCGGCGGGACCGCGGGGCAAGGGGGGTGGGGACGGCCTGGGCCAGGACTCACCTCACTGTCCGCCGCCATCTTGCGCAGCGGCGCGCAAAGGCTGCCGGGAGCCGGCGGCAACCGCCAACGGGCACAGGCGCCCCCGGAAGGCGCCGGTAAGGGCAGGCTGTGGCAGAAACAACCCGACAAATGAAGTTGTTGTGGTTTACTTTCAGCTTGCTATTGTGTTAAATCAGGGCTGTCCACCTTCTAACAGCCTCTCCAGCCTGTTCCGCATCCAGCTGCGCGGGCGCAGAGCTGGGCAGGGAAGAGGCTCCCCAGCCCCCGCTGCGCGACGGGCGTGAGGGCTGGGAGAGGAGGGTCTACCAGCAGCGGCCCCGTGACTATGGCGCTGGGAGATAAGGGTCTCCCAGCCCCCCGCTCCCCAGTTAAAATGGCGAATCAGGGACTGGGAGAGATGATTCCCCAGCCACCACTCCCCAACTGTGGTCTGGGAGTGGGGGGCTCGGAGCTGCCAGGGCAGGGGGACATAGTCTCTGCCCGGGCTCGTGGCGGAGCCCACTCTGGCAGCAGGCAGCTCCCAAGGACAGGGAGAAACCTCCCACCGCCTGCTGCCCAGCAGTAAGCGTGTGCAGTGTAGACATACAAGGTTACTGTGTAGTAAACTGCGCCACTGCACAGTAAAGCATCTTGTGTAGACGCACCGCCAAAGCTTAAAATTAGCTGCTTGGCAGTAGTAGCAGCAGCATTTCTGTTCAGACAGCAGTAGAGGTGGCAATTGGCTCCATGGCTCCTCATAATCCACCCAATTCCTTTTAACCTCCTCATTCTGTTACATAAATGGTATAAATCCCAGTTTTATGTTAGGTAAAGAACATGGGAACAGACTTTTGCCTATTGCTTTAATCTTAGGTATTTTCTTGGGTTTTGCATTGCCTTAAACTCCATTTTGTACTGCTCGGTAGCTTGACATAAGCGCTCAACCTTTCTCTCCTTTGTGTGCTGCATGTGTGAGGGTATAATTGCGAGTGCATTTGTGGAAAAGGAAAACAGTGGTTTGAAGAATGAAGACAGATAAAAGACCAAAACGAGAAGAATCTGCCTCAGAACAGCAAGAGAACAACATCATTCGACCTTCAAGATGGAACGCAGTGATAACATAGCAGATGCTCAAAGGACTGGATGAATTGACAAGGCTAGAAAAGATGGGGCAAGACATGTCAATTTTGGGTCTTGTTCTGCATATCATCCTGGAGCATCAGTTCACCTGATGAGACAGACCACCAGAAGCACGGCTCCTACTCATGATCAATTTAGCTGGCCCCTATGTTGACTTGAGTACCAGTGAGACTGGTCACATATACCAGCATAGAACAGAAATAGGGGTATGAATGTGGAGTGTGCGTGTGTGTACTAAGCCCTTAAATCAATAAATACAGCACTTTACCTTATCCCCTCACAAGGTGTCACTTGTCATTTAAGCAATTGATTATTTGTGCAACAATTCCACAGGTGTCAATGAGCCACTCTCTTTTTTAATTGTTTCAAGCATGTTCCCTAATCCAGCTCTTCTTTCTTCAGTTGTTCTGCTGTTAATTAGCTGCTCCTCTTAATGCAGTTCCTACTTCACAGTCCTGCAGGTTGTTTTTAACTTTGGCTAAAAACATTAACTCAGGCGAACATCAATGCAGAAGTAGAAATAACTTTCAGTGAGGTATTAGGTGCACTCTCAAGATGCTTAAAAAGGCTAAATTGCATTTTATGTATCTGAAAGAAATCTACCTTAATGACAACAGGACTAAAGAAAGAACATCCTTTGATTGTTTCTTGCCTAGTTTGTTGGGTTTTTATACATTAATATGGTGCAGCAGATTAATGCACATTCTAAAAAAAGTTACATTTGTTTTTTGCTTTTATCTTAAAATGAATAATATAACCCTAGGCCCCTAGCATATCATAAAGCTTCTAATTTCTTTTCACTTGGAGAAAAAATGTATGTTGTGGTAGATATATGATGATGCGCAGCACCCCCCTTTCAAAATCCTAGCTCCGCCTATGGACATATCTTATGCACTTTAATAGGGGTAAGGAAATGTTTATTAAATGTTATTGGGATTTAAACAATGTATTATCAAGAGGATAGTGAGACTTCACCAGAAAAAAGGGCCAGAAAAATAGTCAAGCAATGAACCTGTAAGTGATTAAGGGGGAAAGGAAGAAGCTGTTTTGGGTGTTGGTGTAAAAATCTTACTGTGTAGTTAAACTATGTTTGGCTTTCATAGACGGCTGAGTCTGTCTGAATTACAAAATGCCCAGTGGACAGTTGCCTTGGCAACAGCCTGTAAACTAAACAGTCTTGTTGTAGCAGTGGCTGCTTAAAGGGTTTTGCACTAGAAGACCTTAATAATAGGAACAGGCGAAGTACATGGAATTACTGTGTGAAGTGACGGATGTCCAGTGAAGAAGGACAACTCTTACCTAAATATGGTCTTCCGCTGCTCTTCAGATCGGTGCCTCTTTCAAACGTGCTCAATCAGGTTCTAGGTAAGAGAACTTAAATGTTTCAGCATGTTTCCTAGAAACTCTATTTCAGTTGTTGTTTATTAAGCAACATCCTAACAGTACACAGAAGAAAGTGTTTATTAGATATCGTATATGGAAGGTACTATAGAACTTCCACTTCCAATGAATCTAGGAGATACTCTTGGGGGGAAATATGGTCAAGCCTTTAGAGGAAGCTGTAGTACATGTTAAAGGATTACACTTTCCTTTTAGTTCATGTAATAAATCCCTAATCCTTTTATGTTTAGTTAGTAGAAGAGAGAAGAAAAATTATGCTTCAATTTGAGGGAAACAGATTGGGCCCTATCATTCTCATGTTACTCTATTCCTGTCAATTGTGCTAGCATACCAATGTTCTGAGCTCAGCTGAAAAGGAAAAACAAAAAACACACAACCAAATTAATGTATATAAATTCCAGCTTGCACAAAGCAGAATACTAACTCTCAGTTTTTTCTTTTGGAGATGAATAATGCTATAGAGTTCTGTTAAGTAATTAACAGCATAGGCCTTGATCCAAAACCCTCTTAAATCAATAAGGAATATCAGCTAGATGTTCCTGTTTACCCCCTCATAGTTCTACCTATCCAGAAACTTGTATGGCCTCAAACAATATATCTGTCTCTTTTCCCAGCCTGTAAGAAAAGTTAATTTAAAATGGTTTAATTTAAGTTTCTATGCAAAGTGATAGTGACTTTGTATGAGTGAAGAATTTATTAGGGAAGGCTAACCTAAAGAAGAGAATGCAAGAAAAGGAAACCTACTTTGTAAAATGCTCCTAAAAATATTTTTTCTTACATAAAGAAGTGACTTCATGACTAATTGCCACATTATATTAGTAAGACAGAGCTCAGGAAAATCCAAGACAGAATCAGACATTTATATGGTACAGATACCAATACTATCAGTAGTAATACTAGTTGGATAAACATATAAACTCTCATGTTTCAGATTGTCTGGTAGGAAAACTCCTTTATGATTATGTTATTGCATAATTATCTATGACGGATTTCTGAAATATGTATAACAGCCAACTTTTGGTAACAGAACATTATATTCTGTGAATTACAATATTTATGGGCAGTATTTATATAGAAATTATTGAATTTAGTAATCAAGGAATATCTTCAATTATTTTAAATTATTTAAATATTTAAATTTAAGGTTACTCAGAGATAAAGTAGACAGCTCTAGGTAATCTACCCAGAAAGATGGAGAGAGGATGAGGAGGTTCTTCTGAAAGACGTGCTAAAGGAGCAGCTAGACAGGTCATAGAAAAACAGAAGAAGACAGTAGTCACAGGAAGTCTTTTCCAGTATAAACCCCTCAGAGCAGGGAGTATTTTTACATTTTATGCTGCGTAGAACATACAAACAATAATAAGGCTAATAATATTTAATACATGCCCACCTTAGGTTAGATATTAGGAAGAACTACTTCACTGTAAGGGTGGCCAGAGCCTGGAATAGGCTTCCCAGAGAGGTGGTGCTCTCACCTTCCCTGGAAATCTTCAAGAGGAGACTGGAGAGGCACCTGGCTGGGGTCTTATAACCCCTGCCACCCCCAGTGCTCCTTCCTGCCCGTGGCAGGGGGTCAGACTAAATGATCTGTCTGGGTCCCTTCCGACTCATTGATTCTATGACCTCCATATTCAGGCTTTGTTACAGTAAGAAATTACAGTGAGTTTCTTTGTCCTTCTTTATGTGATATACATAGTCAGAGGCCTGCTTTTCCCAAAAACATTAAAGAGACTTGCACATTTAGGAATTGCACAAGAACTGTCTGTTGGCAGTGGATTTACGACCCAGATACCTTATTCCAGGAGGACCCGGACCCTTAGGCCAACCACGACCTCTCAGTTCAATAATAGGTAAATTTTATTGATACACAGTAATAGCAGATAAAAATAATGCAAACAATTCTATATCTACCAGTCCCATGGTTCATTGAGTCAAGGTGCATCTGGCCTGTAAGCAAGTTTCGCTCTAAGGTTCTCTCTTGAATGTCAGATATCAGCAGCCTGGACGTCAGAGGCTGGAGGCCCACTCTCCCCCGATGGGGTGGGTGAGGCAGGCTGGTGGTGCACCCTCTGCACATGATGGCCTCAGGTTCCCTTCCCAGGGACCCTCTCCTGCTCTGAAATACTGCTTTTGTATTATTCCCCCTCCTAATGACTCTTCATCCCTGTGCATCACTGATTGGCCTTCCTGTGGTTGTCATATTGTCCATGTTCTGCTCTGTCAGCATATTCCTTTCTTTCACAAGCCAATCACATGCACATGTCCTCGTTTGGTTCTTTCTGGTTTCTCCTAATTCGGTCCATCTACCAAAGCCAGAACTCCCAAGAGCTCTCCAGTTGGGTGCTGTGACCTGGTGCCACCTTACCTCATGTTATGGAATAGTGTGGTACATGTCTTCAGTTTCCCAGCCCACATGTCTGCTGGCTGCTTCCCTGTGTCAGACACTGGGCCTATCACAAAGAGGCTTTTAGAAGTCAATTAACCCTTGCCATGGCCGTGAACCTTTGTTCTAATGCATATCTACTTTACCT